TCTTTAAAAGGATCTTTTAAAAAGGTAGAAATACCAAGTCCATTAATTTAAGAAGACGTGTGTTTTCTTTTTCTTATAGAAATAAAGCATTTTTAATTTAGACTTCATGGTTGTAAAGCCTGAGACTTGACACTGACCTTGGGCCATTTTAGCTGTTTTAATTTACATTTACTAGCCCTTTTCCTTTAATTAATAGATGGGCATGTACCAAGACTTTGAAAGTGCAAAAATAAGGAAGACCACTTAAGCCCTATATAATTCTTTCATATTTTAATATAGGATTAATTAGCCAAACAGAACCATAATTTAAGAACATTTTATTTACTGTGCCTCATGTGACTTTTCTTGTTCTTTGTGTGACTCTATGCCCTTCCATAAATATAATGGTAAAGAAACAGCAGTTCAATCCAGAAACTGATTTGCAGTTTAAAAAAAACCACTTTCATAAACAATTTCTTGAGTCAATGCTTAAGGATCTTTTTTTGTAGTAAGTAAACTTTTGATGTGTCTACTAACTTTCATTCCAATATTTCCCCATCTTTCCTGTTGCATTTGACATTCTAAATATATGGATTGATGGCTAATAGTTTAAATTGGTCATTTTTGTTTGAAAAAAAATACACTGGGTTTAATATAACCCTTTACCTCACACATTTGTAGATCTGGTGATTTCTTTAAGTCAAGTGATCTGTCTATCCCATTGTCAAGGTGAAATACAAATCCTTATAAAAGTGAAACTGGGTTAGTGGAGCATCTTGCTGTTGTCAGCAAAATCAAAACCACTTGTTTTTGCCAAAATGTTTTATCTTACGGGACATTTTCTTAAAAAAAAAAAAAAAAAAGGGCACCATGAACAACCTTACAGTGATGAAAACCCCTTCCCCCCTTGGAAAGCACAGAGGAGGTGGCAGATCTGGCCATCAGAGAACAAAGGGCCAAAGAGTGAACCTGAGATGCTGAAATAAACTGTAACATCAACAAAGAAAAGGCCATAGATAAATAGTAAAAGGACCAACTTGCCACAAAAAACCCATTGACATTTTCCCAGAGTCCAGGCGAAGAGCTGGTGACCGGGTAATGTTGGAATGTTTTCCTAGGGTTAAAAGGAGAACCGGCAGCAAGTCTGTTCAGAATTTACAAAGTGTTTGAATAACACGGACAGTGTTTTGATAACACATTTTTAGCGGGGGTGAAAATAATAGAATTTATTGGGACATTTATATGGGCCCCCTTGGTTGTATGTGGGGGGTGGGAGGTAAAACATATATCATTGCTCATCTACAACTCACCCTGTAATTTATTCAAACACCATGTAGTTTATACCTACTCGTCATATGTATTTGATGAGTAATACTGCTCCTCAATTTTGCTTCTCAAAGATTGAATGCAATGAAAGTGGTTACCTTTAATGGGGAGAAAGGAGTAAAATGGGCACCTGGCTGGGCTGGCAGTAACTTTGTGTTATTACGATAAGGAAGCTTTAAGTTGGTATTATTGCTTGAGACAATAGAGCATGAGATCTTGAATAGGCTCATGCTCAGAGTTGGCCTTGGCTTTGTGGTAGCATTCAAAGGATTCTGCTTGCTCTACCTCAGGCTGCAAGGTGCAAGATTTGAGTTAATCCAGCCGGCATTTGGGTCTGGGGTTCCAAAGGCTCTCCACGTTTCCTCCCCAATGTTGATGTTTTTGCTCAGTGTATTCCAATACACTGTCAGTTGAGCCACATAAAACCAGGCACCTTTCAATAAATGTCTCATTTGGATTTCATGAAGCTTGGGGTGTAATTGAAATCAAACAGCAAACAGACTGGAAGTCTCTGTTATTTGCCCACCCCATCTAAGGAGGGAGCTGCCTGAAATATTCTCTGAAGCCCCTGCGTTAGCTTTCTTTACCGTTCCTATTTCTGGGAAAGAGCTTGGATTTTAAAGTGTCATGGCTGGGATGCATGAAAATAAATTTTTATGCGCCTTTCGAGGGCTTAAATAAAACTGAGCTAGCGCAAGGAAAATCCATATCAAGTAGGAAATCACAGACTTGCTCATCCATAACTCTTCTGGCATTTAGACTATATATTCCATGTATGATAATAATGCAACTAAGTAATTAATACAGAATCTTTAGATGAAATTTCTTTATCTCTATGCAGGCAGCAAAGTATCTTTAGTTGAAACTCTTTTTCACTATGTTAAAAAGGGAATTTGTAATATCATTGATAAATGTAATACAAATTATGTATAAATTTTCCACGTATCAAAACCAGATTTGTAGAGCCTAAATTTTTATTCTCTTTGAATTCCTCTTTGTCTCTCCATTTGTAAAACGTGATAAAGTTTGGATAAAATAATACATACGTTGGGGGAGGGAGAGATATAAACTTCAATTTCCTGCCCCAAGAATCAACACTAATGGTGATTACACTTACTGTGTATATATTTAATAATGAGGCAGCCCTCGAAGTGAACCCACGCGCTCTCAAGAGCTCGTTCTGGGGCTGGAATAAAATCAGCCCTTTCTGATGTGGCGCGGGAGACAGCTGGCCCACGTTATTTGCGCCAGAGTGGGTCGGAACGATGCCTGTTGCCTGCGATGGCACTTTGCCACGCGCAGCCTTACCCTGGCCACCTCGAAAGCGAATTGAAGAGATCCCGAGGCCGTTTCTCACTGGGATGAAGTGCAAAACTGCCATCTACCACTGGCCACCCTATCTTCAAATAACGTGAAATTCGATCTCACCCCCCAACTTTCCCCTCAAACAGCCAGCAGCTCAGGTCAAGGATTACGCGGTGGTGCCGCTGAATCCTAATCAGGACCTACTAGCCTGGGGCTACTTCGCCGAGCCCAAGCGCGCGTCTCCTTGCTGTCCAGGCGCTCACGTTGCCTCCACGAACCCTCCACGTTCAAAATCATTTTCAAAAGCACGACATCTTCGAATTCCTCAAGACTTCTCTGGATCAAAATAAGAGCTGGGAGGAGGGAGTGGTTGGAGGAATGATCAGATCAGAGAACCAAGCTAAGCCCGAACTGAAGAGGTGGGACCAAGGGCACGGAGCGCCGGGTTGAGCGCGCTCCGGGCCGCCTTTCCCCGGATGCGCCCCCAGGATGCAGTGGCCCAGGACCTAGGAGGCTTCTGCGCCGGCCCCACTGATCTTAATGTGTCCCCTCCCTTAGCTGAGCGACCTGAAAACCTGTGTGAGCTCCAGGTTTTTCATCATCACGGAAAACCTGCGAAGTGCCCTGCAGTGTCCGAGTGCATCGAGGACTGCCTCGCTCTGTAACCCAGACGTGGCGATGCTGGTGCAGCTGCGGTTTGAACCCAGATTGGAAAGCTTTGCGCCGGCCTGCACTCACTAGTGTGCGCTCAACAAACCTGTGGTCGCCTCATCTGTTGTGGGCACGGAGTTTTCCCGTGTGATCGAGTTCGGTTGGGGAAGCAGAGTCCCCGCATCTCAGCCGGAAAATGCGCTCCCAGAGCGATTACAAGTCGCGTCTATAATTGCTTATTAACAGCGAATATCCAGGCTGCTTTTTATCCGCAACAAAACGTCTCCCCCCTTCCAATAATAAAAAAAAATAAAATAAAATATGATGGCACCGCCCTTTACTGTCTGCGGAAACGCAGAGGAGAAACAGGCAGCTGGGGCAAAAGGGCTTAATTCAATATCAAACTGATTATTTCACTAATTATTCTACCTTCTGTGCAGAGCTGCAGAGGAGAGTCGCGGGGAATCTTAGCCGCGCGGCTGCTGGGGAACCTTTGTTTCTTCGTGTCAGGCCCAACTGAAGACGAAGGAAGAGGGTGGAGATCTGGGACTCAGGGAAACCTGGCGGTGTGGATTTTAAATTGGGGGGTGTGGGTGTGTGTGTAAACGCGATTGCCTCCCGAAAGCGGGTGTGTTGGCGTGGGGATGAGGGTATTCCCAGTATCCCACCTCGCCGGGGTTTCTGATTCATAAAGTAAGGTTTTCGTGCTCAAGAATGGCAGTGTGCTCTCACTGTCCCTGGAATCCCAAAAGCCCAGCGTGAGGTTACTCTTCACAAATTCTTCTCATTGGATAAAAGGATGGAACCAAGCAAAAAAAAAAAAAAAAAAAAAAAAGGTGGTTCCGGTGTGTTGAAGGCCAGGGAGTGCTCCCCCATCGGGAGGAACGTGAGCCTGAAGTTACAGCCCCTGACTAGGAGAAAGACTTCGCTAGGGCCTCTCCCCAACTCGCCCCATATCCCCACCCTCAAGGACCCGAGCCTCCCTGCACGCCATCAGCTACTCCCTCCTGCCTCTAAATGCTGTTCTGTCCCCTCATCCCCCGCTTAGAGCTCTGAGATCTGCTGTGCCAAAAGTGGAACCCGCTACGGAGACGCCCCCCAACCCTGTTCCCCTAAACTCCAGCGAAATACAGACACCTAGATTGATTCACACAGCAGGACAGAGTCTAAAAAAAAAAATGTTTTTTAAGACTAAAGAAAAAGAAAGTCACAGGCGACTTGATCCAATTAGTAAATGCCTAATTGAATTAGTGTCACCTCCATCAGCCAATAGGAGGGTCCTGGGGCTGTTTGGGCCGCGAATCCCCTCCCTGGCCGCACATATATAAAGCAGCCAATGACAGCCTGCAAGTTTCCAAGTGGTCAACTTGACGGCGGGTTGGCAGTGAGAAGAAGGGCCGACAGGGTAGCGCTGCTGGGTGGATGGGGGCAGAGACCTAAGTTCTTTTCTTCCGGGGTGTGAGTGTGGGTGGAGGGTAGAGGGTCCAGAGAGGCAACAAGGACGGTCAAAGAAAAGTAAAGCGCTTCTCGGTCAGTTTCCACCTCCGGCCTTCAAAGCCAGGGCGCTTTCCTTGAGGAAAGAGCGCTGGTTCAGGGCGCGCTCTTGCGCGCCTCACCGTCCGCTCCTCTCCAGGTGGGTAGCTCCTGCACAGGAGGAAGGGGAAGGTAACTTCCCCTCGGAAGAGGGCGCTGGCTCCCCCATCCTGCCTTTATAATAAGGCCGAGGGAGGAGAGGAAGCAGCCAGCTGCGGTCTGCGCTTTGCAAAGCATGCAGTTAGGGGAGCAGCTCTTGGTGAGCTCGGTGAACCTGCCTGGCGCGCACTTCTACCCTTTGGAGAGTGCGCGGGGCGGAGGCGGCGGAAACGCCGGCCACCTCCAGGGCGCAGCCCCCTCGCCACAGAGGTTGGACTTAGACAAAGCGCCCAAGAAGTTCTCGGGCAGTCTCTCGTGCGAGACGGGGAGCGGGGAATCCTCAGCAGCCAGCGCGGGGGCCCCCGCGGCCATGCTCAGTGACGCCGACACCGGGGACGCCTTTGCCAACGCCGCAGCAGTGGCCAAACCAGGGCCCCCGGACGGCCGCAAGGGCTCCCCCTGCGGGGAGGAGGAGCTGCCCTCAGCCGCCGTGGCCGCTGCGGCTGCCGCAGCTGCTGCCACCGCGCGCTACTCCATGGACAGTCTGAGTTCCGAGCGCTACTACCTCCAGTCCCCCGGGCCTCAGGGCTCCGAACTGGCCGCGCCCTGCTCGCTCTTCCCGTACCAGGCGGCAGCCGGGGCGCCCCACGGATCTGTGTACCCGACTCCCAACGGGGCGCGCTACCCCTACGGCTCCATGCTGCCCCCCGGCGGCTTCCCGGCGGCTGTGTGCCCACCCGGGCGGGCACAGTTTGGCCCCGGAGCCGGCGCGAGCAGCGGCGCGGGCGGCAGCGGCCCCGGGGGAGGCGGCCCGGGCGCCTATCAGTATGGCCAGGGGGCTCCGCTTTATGGGCCCTACCCCGGGGCGGCAACCGCGGGCTCCTGCGGAGGTTTGGGGGGACTAGGGGTTCCTGGTTCCGGCTTCCGTGCCCACGTCTACCTGTGCAACCGGCCTCTGTGGCTCAAATTCCACCGCCACCAAACGGAGATGATCATTACGAAACAGGGCAGGTGAGCGTCGCGCGGAGGGGCTGCGGGGCGCGGGGTGAAGAGCAAACGCGTGGTCCTGGGAAAGGCCGAGGGTGATGGGGCTGTGCCCACTCGCTCCGCGCTTTCCTAGTAATGTTTTTCCGCGCGCAGCTGAGTGGAGGCGCAGCGTCTCCATTCTGGTGTCCCTCCTAGCGCCCGCACCCGGGGTTTGTGCGGGGTGCTGTTATGGCTTCTTTCCCTTGTGCTCCCCTCGGTACCCCCTCGCCTGCTCCGAGGAGCAGGAGGCTGAGGTGGAAATGGAAACTGGGGCTTGGCCGCAAAGATGCTTCTGCTAGATCCTCGCGCACGGCTGTGCGCGGGTCCCTGCAGGCGGGCGAGGAGCCTTGGATAAGGAAAGCCCCAGGGTTGGCCTCCGGAGCGCAGGAGATGGGCTCCCGCAGTTTTAGGCGCCAGGGTCTCCACGGGGTGCCCGGGAGAAATGGGCTTGAGCACCGGCAAAGGAGGGTGTTGGTCCGGGTAGTTGATTAGGCGGATCCTGAAGCCAGACCTGGCTGGGGTTCTGAAGTGAGAAAGTTCTGATCCGCATCCCACGGCCAACAGTGGTTCCTCCTGAGGCAGGTGAGGGCTGGGTGCCCGCGAGAGAACGCTCACAGGGCGGCTCCTTACCAATAGAATTTTTTATTTTACAAGAACAACTTGATGTTGCGCGCTGAAACTTGTATGCATAAAAATTAGTGCTTTTAACATCCTAAAAATTAGGCGTATCTTCAGGCATCATGAACTTGAATGGCGAGAGGACGCAGAAGCACTTGAGTTTAGGAAATGCTGACTTTGACTTTGGTGCAAATTATTTCGGAAAAGAGGGAGATATTGCAAGAGTGGCCAGCTCAAAACCATTTTACGTATTAAGGGCCACCTTCCCGGCCCGCGTTGTGTTCCCTGTAGACTTTTAAAAAACGATTCTTCGACCCTACCCCGGTGTCCACAAGCTGGACCGAATTGTGTCTGTTCTCCTGCATCCCAACTTAAATCGCTCATCCTGGTTCTCTGTTCCCTTGCGCAGGCGCATGTTTCCTTTCTTGAGCTTCAACATAAACGGACTCAATCCCACCGCCCACTACAACGTGTTCGTAGAGGTGGTGCTGGCAGACCCCAACCACTGGCGCTTCCAGGGGGGCAAGTGGGTGACCTGCGGCAAAGCCGACAATAACATGCAGGGTGAGGAAAGAGAGGGCCCGGCGGGGAGGAGCGGGTGGGGACCCTTGATCTGGAAGACTCGCATTTAAATTTAGCTCATCCCATCCCTAGCCCTCCAACCTGGGGCTCAGAGGTGTTAGTACGAGTTTCTTTTTGTTGATTGTTTGCTAGAGAAAGAGAGAATTGCTAAGTCAGATTTCCTGCCTCCCCTCCCAATAAAATTTGAACATGGCCCTACCCACCCACTGCCCATCCTTTCTTTTGAGAAACTAAGTGTCTTATTAGGCTCCCTGGGTAGCAAGGATCCCTGGCAAACTAATAGTCACTGGAGAAAGCCCTTCCCAAAGTTGAGTCTACTCATAAAGTTCCAACCACCAGGTGTTGCCCTTCCAGCTTTAGAAGGCCCCAAATTCACCTCCAAAAGACCTCTCCTGGGCTGCATTTTAATATTTGAGATATTGTTAAGATGAGTGCCTTGTCCGAGGATATCCTGGGAGGTTATCAGGGGAGTCCAGTTTTGGTCTCTGTTGACCTTCTTAAACAGCTGGTGCTGGGAAGATTTGTATGGGAAGTCTTGCTCTTCAGTTTTGCCCCCCCCCCCATAGGCCTCCCCTACCTCCATTTTAAACAGTCCTATATTCTTGGGTTTTCTGTTTTGTTTCATTTTCTCGTAGGTAATAAAATGTACGTTCACCCAGAGTCTCCTAATACTGGTTCCCACTGGATGAGACAGGAGATTTCCTTTGGGAAATTAAAACTCACCAATAACAAAGGCGCAAATAACAACAACACCCAGGTAGAGTGACAGGAGGGTATCTTCTGGCTGGCCAGCGCTTTTCTAATGAGAGTCCATCCGTCTCTATATTTATACTATTTGCAGTTGTTACTTGTTTGCTAGCCTGCATCTCATCTTTATTTTCTTTTCACCTTTCTCATTTTCGCTTTCTTGTTAAAATTTGATAACAGTGAGTTGAGTGTTAGAACAGAAATACTGAAGTCTTTGGGGGGCTTGGGGACAGCAAGAGAAAGGCGTGTTTGTCCAACAGGCACTCCCAGCTGTGTTTTAAATTTCAAAAATGGCAACGATAAGGTATTGAAAATGGCCATAGAAAAAGAAAGCTGTTGGTGGGAAGCAAGCAGGGGCCCCAACCCCAAATATGCTTTATCGAAAATTTGTATTGAATATCTAAGCCACTTTTTTTGAAAACTTGGCAACTTTTTTTCTATACCATTTCCAGATGATCGTTCTACAGTCTTTACACAAGTACCAGCCCCGGCTGCACATTGTTGAAGTTACTGAGGATGGCGTGGAGGACTTGAACGAGCCCTCGAAGACGCAAACCTTTACCTTCTCAGAAACACAGTTCATTGCAGTGACTGCCTACCAAAACACCGATGTGAGTGCCCCCAGATACCCCAAGAATCTCTAGAGCTCGGTCTGGTGGGATAAAGAACTCAACAGTTATTTTTCTCCTCTATCTAGATCACTCAACTAAAGATTGATCATAACCCCTTTGCAAAAGGCTTCAGGGACAACTACGATTCGTAAGTGCAGCTTTTATTCATATTTGCAAGGTCATCTTGGAACAGAATATATATAATATCATACTTCGCTGGGAACACATTCTAGGAAGAGCTTTTTCATGTTGGGGATTTTTACTTTTTTTTTTTTTTTTTTGCCTTGACTAATCTTGCTTTAGAATTTTCACAGAAGGGTTTTGCTAATTTCTAAAGAAACATTAAGGGCTTAAAATGAGCAGCTTTTTTTTTTAACATTTAAGTAGAGATTTGAAATTTTCATAATCTGCATTTATATACCTTCCTTTTCATTTGATCATCTTTTTGCCCTCTGGGGAGCAGGTATTACTACTCCCCCCCCCCCGTTTTTTTTTACATAAGAAAAACCCCTGAAACTCAGAATATGTAATTTTCACAACATCAAACAGCAAGGCCCCCCCCAAAGTGCCTTTTTAGATTTAGTTTTTCACCACTGAGCATTCTTTCCATCACACAAATGAGGGAGGGTTGCTTTGAGTTCAAGTTGTAGGCCTTACAGAGTAAGATTTTCTGTCCTTTAAATAAGTAGTGCCTGGGAGGAAACTATTTTCTTCTATGCTGGAGATTTCCCCCATGAGCCAAGAGTTCAGCTAACATGGCCCAGTGCATCTTCCACCTCCGTTTCTCCCCTCCAACAGACCAGTGCTCCCGGTACAGACAACCATCAGTTTCAGAACCTTTTTAATTTCTGGGAGGTGGTTTGTTTGGGAACAACATTGGGGTTTTTTTTTTTAAGTGTTTCTCTTTATATTGTAGCATGTACACCGCTTCAGAAAATGACAGGTTAACTCCATCTCCCACGGATTCTCCTAGATCCCATCAGATTGTCCCTGGAGGTCGGTACGGCGTTCAGTCCTTCTTCCCGGAGCCCTTTGTCAACACTTTACCTCAAGCCCGATATTATAATGGCGAGAGAACCGTGCCACAGACCAACGGCCTCCTTTCACCCCAACAGAGCGAAGAGGTGGCCAACCCTCCCCAGCGGTGGCTTGTCACACCTGTCCAGCAGCCTGGGACCAACAAACTAGACATCGGTTCCTATGAGTCTGAATATACTTCTAGCACCTTGCTCCCGTATGGTATTAAGTCCTTGCCCCTCCAGACGTCCCATGCCCTGGGGTATTACCCTGACCCAACCTTCCCTGCCATGGCAGGCTGGGGCAGTCGAGGTTCGTATCAGAGGAAGATGGCCGCTGGACTCCCATGGACCTCCAGAACAAGCCCTCCTGTGTTCTCTGAAGACCAGCTCTCCAAGGAGAAAGTCAAAGAAGAAATTAGCTCTTCTTGGATAGAGACACCCCCTTCCATCAAGTCTCTGGATTCCAATGATTCAGGGGTGTACACCAGTGCTTGTAAGCGAAGGCGACTGTCTCCTAGCACCTCTAGTAATGAAAATTCTCCCTCCATAAAGTGTGAGGACATTAACGCTGAAGAGTACAGTAAAGACACCTCAAAAGGCATGGGGGGGTACTATGCTTTTTACACAACTCCCTAAAGAGTTATTTTAACCTCGTAAAAATGAGCTAACTTTTTGCAAATGGACTTGGTGGTGTTTTTTGTTGTCTTCTTTGCCTAGGTTGCCAAAAAGAAGTTTGCCTTCCACCTTGATGCATCCTGTTTTGTGCAATTCTCTAAAAGAAGGTGCCAAAGCTTTTTGATTGCTGCAGGTAACTGAAACAAACCTAGCAATTTTTTTTCTTTTTAAAATAAAGTTAATGGAGGACTTTAAAGTGTTTTAAAATTTGAAGGCTATTCAAGGTTCTGGATTTTTATTTATTGGAGACACTAAACATTCAGAGATCCAGGCTGTGAAGATTGAGTGCTGAGTGCTATCAAGTTAGTTGAAGGCTTTGGCCCTCCATTTCTATTTGTAAATCCCTAAGCAAATAGAAGCCCAGAGAGTTACAGTGGGCTTTTGCTTTTGAAAGAGAAGGGCTGGGCCTTCCTTCAGCTTCAACTGGGGACTCTATGCTCTTACCTTCAGCTAGGGACAGAAGATGTTAGGCCTGGGAGGCAAAAAAAAACTTTTGTGAAGGTGCTGGTTTTCCCTGACTGTAATTCCTCCCTGGCTTTTGAAACAAGCCATGTTTGCCCTAGTTCAGGATAGCCTCACTTGTTAGGCCTCTGCTTTATGCAGGGGTGGCTCGTGAGACTCAGGAGTGGCCAAGGGAGGGAGTTTCTCGAAAAAGAAAAAAGAATTAAAAAATGTACAGTCGTGTGTGCTTAGATACACTGTAGAATAAAGTGGACTATATTGTACAAATAGCCTACATAGGAATCTGAGATTATGTAAAATCGGTGCTTTGGCTTTGTAAAGAATTCGCAAATCACCTAACAGCTGCAGGGGCAGGGGGAGAGTTTCCTCTCATTATCCCCACCATATTCGAGAATATTCTGTTTACTTCTTAGATAGTTAAGAATGTATTCAGCTACTCTGTACTAACTTGAAACGTGTTTAAGGAAAACCCATTTCATCCTCTTCCTTTGCCCCCACTCCCACTACCCAACTTGGTAAGGTGAAGAAACTAAAACCTGATACCACCGCTCCTATAGGCTTTTTAGAGATCTTGAATTTTTATGTACAGTCTTAGTCATTTTTAATAAATGTGGTTCATTAAGGGAACAGGCATAGCTCTGTCTTCTGTACTATGGGTTTTAATATTTATTTTAAAGATTTTATTTTGCTTTCCCAACATGAACGTTGCCCCTGCCCACCCCCCAAATGATCACTGTAACTAGGGGTTGGGATGTTTTTAATCTTTATTCCTTGAAGACGATTGGGGTCATTTCCTCACCCCACTGGGAAGTCTGGACAATGGGTACTGGGGGCTGGACAATGGGTACTGACGCCGCTGAGATGCAAGGTTGTGGCCCCCAGGCTTACTGCAAGCCTGGAAAACCTCCGCCCCCCGCCCTTGGCGTCCTGGTCTTGTCTTGGCCGGTGGCCACTTAGTCCTCTGGGCTTTTTCCTAGGCTTGCTTGGGGCACCCATACCTGGACCAGTGTGTGCTCCCCGGAAACCCCCGCGGCCCCTTGAACACCCAAGAGCTCCGGCTCCCTGAGGTGTCGCGGGGCTCGGGGGCCACCCACAGCTCGGCTTCTGCGCCCACCTGCGGCTTTCTTCCACCCCGAGTCTCTCGGGGTTACCCCTCCTCCGCAGGCTGCCCACCGCGGTAGCTGCTTGCACGAAGCGCGCCCGAGACGCTGGGCGTCGGGGTTGGGGCCCGGGCCCGCGCGCCCCCGACCTTTGAGGATGCAGGCGCCCCTTGCTCGCCTTCCTGCGGACAGCCGCGGGGGGGTGATAAGCGTCAAGTTGAGCTCGGTTTATTCGGGTCTCATTCCTGGGGCGGGAGAAGGCCGTCCCATCTCCGGGCTGCGCCCTGGGCCTGCTGAAGAGTTAAAGATTGGGGCGGGGGGGTCTTTTGTCCCCCTGCCAGACGCCCCGCCAGGCTTATCAGCAGCCGGCTTCTGGCTCAGCTTGCAAACCTTCCCAGCCCCTTCCTGATCTTCCCGGGGTAAAGGTCTGGCGGGGAAGGTCATTCTGCAAACTGCGTGACGCGGAAATGCAGCTGCTAAGAGGATTAGCTGCTGGGAGGCGAGCAATCAGCCGGGCCCCCTCCCCTTCCGCGCCCAATTAAGGTCTCCAGGAGCTGGTGGCTCCCCTCGCCCCCCGTTTTCCATTCCCTCCACCCTTTCTGCAGCCCGAGTTCTTTCCGCGCCGTCGGTGACCGTGGGGACTCAGACTGTACCCCAAGTTTCCGACTGTGGCTGCCCACGACGCTTTGGCAAAGCCACCCCGAATTTTACGCGGGCGAGAGGGGCGAAAGGTGTGAAGATTTCGTTTATGTGTATTAATTGTAAATGAAAGATTCAGACTGAGGTGGGGTGAAGATGCGGAGTCCCCCTAACCTGGTCACAGCACCACCCCCTCCCCTGTCCGACCCCATGGAAGCATCGCGCGTTGGGAGATGCGATGGAATCTCCAAACGCGCTCAGATTTTCTCCTGTTCTGCCCTCTAGAAAGCCCGAAAATGCTAATCACCACCGGGATAAAGCCGACTCCAGCCCCAGTCTATTTAGAGTCCTGTATATTTTTGCACCGTACAGTAAAAAAGAACCTGGTACTTGTGAAAAGTCCCTCACGGTGTTTAATAGAAACGTAAGTGGCTGAGTGGCCCCAATTAACACCTTGTGATAAGGCATTCCTAAGATGGAGTGTCAGACACCAAATTGTGAAGAGATGTATCTAATTAATCCTCCTAGGATGACACCGATAAACAAGCCTCTATTTAAATAAAGATCAAGGGCTCGGCGCCCGGTTTGTTTACATTCTCCCCCAGGGTCCCAGCGTTTGCGCCCGCGCGGGCGGCGTTCCCTGCCTTGGGTGGAGACGCAGCTTGGGGCAGGGGGTGGGTGGGGGGCGGGGGGCCGGTGCTGGCTGACCGGGGTTCGCCTCTCCTCGCTTCTTCCCCGTGCAGAAAGAAGCACACCCTAATACAAACTGCAACAGAAGAGTAAAAGAAGGGCCAAAGGACCCGGCTTTGCAAATACCGTTGTCATTTTCCACGTGTTTTCCTTTACATCGCCACTTTTTGTTAGTTCTGTTTTTCCTTATTTTTTTTTTTTTAAGATTTATTTATTTATGCATGCAAGAGCTGGGGCACAGGCCAGAGGTGCGGGGTGGGGGTGGGGTGAGAGGATCCACCAGAGACAGAGTGGGGAACAGAACAGGCGCATTGACTGAAACACACTGCTGAGGGGAGCAGTGGGTGAGACAGGAGAGGCCTGCTTTGCCATGTGGGATTCTCCCTGGCCGGGGATCGAACTCGTGCTGCAGTGGCTGCAGACAGCTTCATAGGTTGTGCCTTACCCCCCTGCGCCACCAGGGAGGCCCCGTTTCTCCCTTTTCTTTAAGGCAAAAGAAAAAAAGCAGCAGCTCACACGTCGACCCTGAAAGTCTTTCTGTTTAGGGCAGAAGTGGGCGCAGGGCCTCCCTCTGCCGCCCCACCCCGCCCCGGCACGAGTTCGCTCCCCGCGGTTGCTGGATTCCTTCTGTTTGGTTTAGAAGTCGAAAATTGCTAGCGCCGAGGGTAGCTCTCCTGGGGGTGGCATGGGGAGCCTCCTTCCCCCCAACCCCCCACCCCGTCTCCGGGAAAGGCTGGAAGAGCCAGAAAAGAAACAGGACAGGAGGAAGCTGCTTTACTGCCATTCTGGGAACTAGACCCGGGGGTCGGAGCTCGTTTGGAGTCTGCAGCGCCGCACCTTCCAATTCCGCAGCGGAGGGTTTGGAGACTCCAAAACCGCTTTTGGTCTGCAGCCTCCTGTAGCCTCCTGCCGTCCCAGGCGCCTCCGACCGGGTTTAAACTTGGGAGTCAAGGCAGAATTACGGTCCTCCCGCTCCTTTGCAGCCCTTTCTGAATCAAACTGGAATGGGGGGGGGGGGGGGTAATGAGAAGTGGGGGGAATGCAATTAAAAAAAAATCTGCAGGTGTGCTGGAAACGCTCCGGAATAAGAACTTTTCCACACGCCCCCCAATTTTAATCGCCATGGAGCCGCCGGGAGGAGCCACACTTAAATCACTCCTTTCACACTCGCTTGGAAACTGCGGCCCTCCGCCGCCCCGCTGCGCCTCGCCTCTCCAAAAGTTTGGCTTTGACCTCGCGGAGCTCTTGGCATCTTGGGGAGACTCTTTTAAAGGGCAATTTGCAAAAGTTAGCTGGTGCGCCTCAAGAGCTCCCTCCTTGAAACCCCCATCCCTGCAGGTTAGGCTTTCGAGTACACGCGCCCCGGGAAAGTCCGTCCACCCACGCGGGTCTTCCCGGCCGGGAGTCCCTCCACCCCACGCAGATTTTGGGGGTTCCCAGGGGTTCCCGCGCGCCGGAACCCGGCAAGGGCTGGCTTTCCTCCCCAGTCCATGAACTAACCTGCAACATATCTATACCACAATGGGACTCTGACCTTGGTGGCCGCAGAATTTCTATCACGATGATTGAAACGTAAAGTGAGCTTTTCCTGGCGATCCATTCATTGCTCCCCGCACCCCCACAACGCCCCCCTGCACTTTCCTTAGACCCTAACAGCTGAGGATTCGCATCGAGTTCACCAGGCGGAGGATTTGCAGCCGGGCCCAAGACACCGAGCGGGCTTTTGACGATGATGCCCCAAATGCCCCCAGCTTCTGATGGACCTCTGCAACCGCCCCCAAAGTGCGCATTACTGTTTTAGGGAGCAAGGTGGAGAAATCCCCCCTCCCCCCCAAAAAAAACCCTAAGCGTCCTTCTGTGTCCGTGTGTAGAAGCAGCTGGGTTCGCACGGCAACTCCTGTAAGCCTTGCCTGGACTCAGTTTTTCCTCCCCATAAGGCGCGAAAGAGGCCCCGGCCCCTCGCCCTTGGCCTTTCCGCCTGGCCCCCGAGTGTCCGCCGAGGCGGCGGGCGCAGCTCGGCAGGGCCGCGGGCAGCCTTCGCCATCTGGTGGCCACGGAGAGTAAGGGGCCCTGAGCGAGTGGCTGGCTGGGTCCACTCACTTTCCAAGTCACTGTTTTGCCAGGTTTTTAAGAGCTTTGTACAAAAGTCTTTTCTTCTCACACCTACTCTTCCTTTTTAAAGCTTCTTGATAGGGGGAGAGGATCCCGGAATTTGGAGTTCTAAGACTTAAGTTCTGGCTCGGGACACTGGCTGCAGCTGACTGGCTGCATTAAACTCGACTTACAGTGTCATGTCTTCTGTTGTGAAGCTGGCATTCCAACTGCCAGGAAGTGTGGAGGAGAAAGAAATGAGATTATAAACTTCCCTGCTTTGTAAACTGTTGAGTAGCTCCAATAGTAGACATTATTACTGCTAATTTTATTTTTTTTAAAGGATTTGTTTATTTGTTTATGCAAGAACTGGGGTACAGGCCAGAGAAGGGGTGGGGGTGAGAGGATTCACCAGAGACAGAGTGGGGAACAGAACAGGCAGACTGACTGAAATACACTGCTGAGCGGAGCAGCAGGCGAGACAGGTCTTGCTGCACCATGTGGGTCACCTCCCTGGCCAGGGATTGAACTGGTGCTGCAGTGGCTGTGGATTGCTTCATAGTGCTGCAACTTAACCCCCTGAGTAGTCAGGGAAGCCCTATTGCTAATTTTATAACATGTGATAGTAAATGCAAGTGCATTGACAAGTGAATGATTTTTTATTAATTCAAAAATAGTTATAGAAACTTTTGAATATACACAAATGGACCCCGCTATAACTCAGCAACAACAGTCATGGCGGCTCTGGTTTCATCCTACAACCTCCACCCCATTCTTCACTACAAACTCCAGTAATCTTGTCATCTAGTACACAATTATTTCCATATGTAGCCCTAAAATTAAAAAAAAAAATCTTTGTAATATTTAAATGATTATGGAGCATTTCTGTTTTATTTTCTTAAACTGGCAGGATACACCGATTATCCCTTATTGTCCTGAAATTAACTTTTGCCATGATGTATTAGGCTTTTATATATTGTAAAATTTGATTTGCTAATATTTTGTTAAACATTGAGGGATATTGGTTTGCCATTTTCTTCTTTGTAATGTCCTTTGTATCAGAATGTACTGTCTTTATAAAATGAGTTCACAGTTTTTTTTCTTCATTCTTAGAAGTTTGTATAAGATTGTTGTTCTTTCTTTTTAAATTGTTTGATAGAATTCAATGGCAGGGCCTCCCTGACGGCGCAAGAGGTTAAGACATAGCCTATGAAGTTATCCACAGCAACTATAGCTGTGGTCAGGGAGCTACCCACATGGTGCAGTAGATCTCTCCTGACTCACCCACTGCTGTATTGACTGTATTTCAGTCAATCTGCCTGTTCTGTTCCCCATTCTGTCTCTGGTGAATCCTCTCACCCCCCCCACACCTCTGGCCTGTACCCCAGTTCTTGTATGCTTAAATAAATAAATCTTTAAAAAATTCCATGGTGAACTTACCCCTGTCTAGAATTCTTTGTGGAAAGGTTTCGATAACATAATTTCTTTGTAGGTATTCAGAGTTTGCGTTTTATCTTGTGTGAATTTAGTAAGTTGTATTTTTAAGGAATTTGTCTACTTCATTTAAATTATTGAATTTAATGACAGAAAGTGTTCGTCACATTCCTCTTTAGATGTCTGTAGAATCTGAAATGTCCTTATGTACTCTCAACATTGTCAAGTTATGTCATCTTTCCTTCTTTTTATTCAGTCTTCCTAAGGGTTTGCCAATTTTGTTTTTCAATGGACTTCAGTTAATTTTCTATATATTTTTTTTCCTATTGCCTTAATTTGTGCTTATATCTTTGCTGTCCTTCCTTTAACTTATTTTCAGCATAAATCATTTTGTCTTTCTTTTTCTAGCTTCTTAAGATGGAAATTTACCTATCTTTTCTATGACAAGCTTTTGAAGCTATCAATTTCCTTTTACACCTGCCTTATCTACATCTCCCAAGTTTGATATATGGTGTAGAATTGAGGCTACCAGAGAGGGAGGGTAGAGGTGGGGGGGTGAAGAGGTGAGGGGCCACAATGTGTTATGGTGGAGGACTCTGGGTGCTTTCGTGCTGAGTGTAATGTGGTAACATACATCTAAAGAGACATGAGCCTGTATCTCTAAATTATGTGCAGTGCTGTAAACCAACATTACCGCAAGAAAAAAAAATCTTTGATAAGCCAAGTGATAAGAAAATAATGATTTTCAAAAATATGTGTGCATGTATTCAAATAAAGATAACCGGTTAACTACTTAGGTTGGAGTGGAAAGAGGGCTTAGAAGGGAAACTGAGGAAGGGAAAAAGCAGGAGAGAGTTCCTGGGACTGCAGGTTACTATCCACAATTCACAGGCTAGAACTTCAAGAAATGGAATGGAATTGGTGACTGAGAATATTATGGTAACTCTGAGGATAGCAAAGGTAGATTCTAACATGCAGATATCATTGCTATGATCCTGTTCCTATTCCGGAAACCAAATCGTAACCCAGACTACAGGCCACCAGGCAGTCAAGATGTTTGCTGCAGTGTTCTGGTTTTTACTGTCACTATTTCTTCTTGAAATGTCCCAATATTGATGCTCTGAGAATGTGCTCCTCTGTTGACAAAGACTTCTTCCTAAATCTCCAGACCAACTGTCTGACCTTGAGTCACTGAACTGAGAGTTGGGAGGCATCTTAGCTCTGTTCACTCCACTCCACAGAGGCAGAACTTAAGTCACAGTACTCACATGGGATGCTGGGCTCCGTGAGGAATCCATTGTTTCTGCTGTTTATCATGACTTGGACCCTATACTTTAGACATAAAATATTTCAGAAGCCTATAGAATATTTAATCATGAAAACATTAAATTTCAAAGCATAGTTTTTACACTGCTTCTCTTATTTATCAGGGGATAAACAATATCTGTGATATAAATGAATCAATGATTCATCTTTCTTTTTCTTTCTTTCTTTCTTTATGTATTCATTTGTTGTTTATTTATTTATTCATTTATTTTTAGGATTTGTTTATTTATTTATTTATACAAGCACTGGATACAGTCAGAAGCGCGGGAGGGTGAGAGAATTCACCCAGCCAGAGCGGGGAGCAGAGCAAGCAGAAGGACCGAAGTACACTGCTGAGGGGAGCAGCGGGCGGCAGGAGAGGTCTGCACGCCATGTGGGACCCTCCTCCGGTGGCTGGGGAGCAGCCGGGGATCGAACCAGCGCTGCAGAGGCTGCGGGCAGCTTCGCAACCCAGCGCTCAACCGCTGCGCCACCGGGGAGGCCCTCATCTTTCTTTTTCTTTATTTTTTCCTAAAATTTAAGTCTTTCCTAGAGTGGAATCCTTCTTCTTGCACTTTGACCTTTACTCAGCTCTGGGATGGTGAATCCAAAGAATATATATCCACTACTTTACATATTTGCTGGTTTTCTTAATTTTGGCAGGCAGGATTTCTTGTTACCTTATAAAGATAAAACCTAAGAATATTCTTTGACATTTTATTTCTCTCAGAATTCCAGATTTTCCCTGTGCTAAAGAGGTACATTTAATCGAATCAATCAAATAATCTGTGTTTATGAAATATACAGAAGGCTGCAGATAGAGACCACAAAGTATTGCAGAAAAGCCCAGAGAATCATGGCTTGACTTAGCATGGCATAGACATGCTTGTCTGTGGGAGTGTTTTTTTGTTCTCCAGAGCTGAATGTCATTAAGATGAGATCACAGTGCAGAATATGATTAGAATAAAATGATATGGTGGTATCTAATATTTTCTTTGGGGACCCTTCTGCTCAGAGCTGTCAAAATAGATTGTATAAATAGACAAGACTGAGGGAAGTGATCCTAATCACATTGATGAAACACTCTTCTGAAAGCCTGAAAACCAGAATGTAAAAAAGAGTCTCTAGGAATACAATTAAATCTAGATCTGTAGTTGAATACCTCAAAATAATTCTCTCGGGCCTCTTTCCCTTTCAGCTAAAGAAACTCACCAGGAAAAGAGCAAGGCAAGTATTCCAGAGTCCAGAGGTGTCCTCTTTCACATTTGAGTTACAGGAAACAGGAAACAATTTTGTTAGGTACATTCTTTTTTTTTTTTTTTTAAAGATTTATTTATTTATGCATACAAGAACTGGGGTACAGGCCAGAGGTCTGGGGGTGGGGTGGGTGAGAGGATTCACCAGAGACAGAGTGGGGAGCAGAACAGGCAGACTGACTGAAATACACTGCTGAGGGGAGCAGCGGGTAAGCCAGGAGATGTTGCTGTGCCATGTGGGTTGCTCCCTGGCTGGGGATAGAACTCGTGCTACAGTGGCTGCGGACAGCTTCATAGGTTGCGTTTTAACTTCCTGCACCACCAGGGAGGCCCTGTTAGGTACATTCTTGATCTGGCATTGAGGATGCTGGGCTCCTGCTGCCATCTTTGTGGTCAGGGCAACGGGCCATCAAGTATTTCATTGGTTTCTGTTTCTTAGACCCTTTGCACTTCGGCAGGATCATTGGAGCCCAGAAAGAGAGCAGTATGGATAAGGCCATTTGAAAAAACCTGTGGCCTTTCAAAGAAGGTCTTGGCCTACCTGTAGTATTCCAGCAAGGAGGAGGTCAGGCTTTCCTCCCATTCTCTGGCCCCTGTCCACGACCCTGATTGGCTGAATCCATCAGGAAGTTAGAGAATCAGGAAGTCTGTTGATGCCGTCAGGGAGGTCAGCCTCTTCAGTACAGTGCCTGCCAGATGGAGAAGAACGGTCAGTGGAATCAAGGGAGCTAAAGAAGATACTTACCTCAACTTGTACCCCTCCCCATGCCTTGATGGCTAACGGTTAGCCTTCTAAATATCCTCCACTTGTTTTGAAATGTCCCTGGAGATGTTTCAAGAATAACTGGAATCTGATTCTTATAGGAAAACTCCATTATTTTTCAGTATTTGTGAGTTATTTGAAAAAAATAACAGAGCAAAACACCTCTTGGGCCACTAGCTTTTGACCCCTGATCTAGATCAGTGGTTTAGTTCTAGTTGAATCTCAAAAATATAAAAAACAGGACTTCTGGGCCAAGACAAGGTAAAGTAGCAGGGGTGTGATTTAACTTTCTGCCTGAAAAACATTAAAAAACTAAAACCCAAGGAAACTGTAAGAAAAAAATAACTGCCAATACTTTGGGCAAAAGGCATGTAGAATAGCAGTCCACTAGAGAAGAGAAACAAAGGAGGAGAGCCCTAAGATTGCTCCAACTTACTGCCTGGAGACCTTGCAGACTGTAGTTCAGGGTGGGTTTGGGGGCCTAGAAAAAGCCCACCAGTCTTTTGGAGTTGAGGACACAGAGCCATGAAATGAGGATGGTCAAGATGGTTAGAGTTCCCAGGGCTGAGTTCAGAGAGGAGAGTGCTGCTCAGAGAAACTCCAGGCCACTGAATAAGGTTCCTCTTAACAGACAGCAAGTAAGCACATAAAAAGATACTCAACAGGACCTCCCTAGTGGCTCAGGGGTTAAAGTCTGAATGCCATCAAGCTATCTGCAGCTACTGTGGCATGAGTTCGATCCATCCACATGGCACAGCAGACCTCTCCTGTCTCACCTGCTTCTCCCCTCAGCAGTGTATCTCCATAGATCTGCCTGTTCTGCTCCCCACTCTGTCTGGTGAATTCTCTCACCCCTACATCTCTGGCCTGTACCCCAGTTCTTGTATGCATTAATAAATAAAAATAAATCTTTAATATAAAAAGATACTTAGGAAAGAAAAATGAAAGAGGTTCTGCTACTGCCTTTAAGCAGCTTCACAGTTTGCGTCTTAACCCTTGTGCCACCAGGGAGGCCCTAAAAAGTAGTTCAATATCAGTGTCCAATGCTTTTCTAAAACGTTTCTTTTTCACATAAAAATTAGAATAACTAATGTTCATTTATTCTTGCAGCATAAATTTGCAACATGGGGTTGTTTACAATCTGCTATTACATTTCAGTGTCCATAAATGCTGCCTGATGGGCACAGCCCCGCCCACTCGTTTACCCAAGTCTCTGGCTGCTTTGGGCTCGTGAGGCAGCGCGTTCAGCCATCGCGGCGGAGACCCTGTGGCCTGCAAGGTGAAAACACTCTCTGGGTTTAAACACCCCAGAGGAAGACCACGGGGAGCGGGGAGGTGGCCTGGGGCGGTGGCGGAGACCTTCCTGTGGGAAGGTGGAAAAGGAGGCCGGCTCCAGGGCACGTGAGCTGTGGGGCCCACCCGGGTCAGGGGCCAGGCCGGACAGCCAGGCCAAGGGGTCCTTGGCCACCAGGATAAAGCGTGGCCCTTCGGGTCTAGCATGTGGTCCCCACGCAGGAACGGGCCATGACAGGACACGGTGAGGGCGCTGGTTTCGGACTCCACGTTCCCCACGCCGGCCCAGGCAGAAGATCGCCTGCTGGGGGTCTGACTGGACCTCAGGGGCCGCCAGGATCCCCGCCTGTGCTGGGCTGCAGCCTGGAGCTTTGGGGGTCTCTGCATCACCCCCCCACCCCACTGCCTCCCTGGCTTCGGAGGGGCAGGATGGAGCACGGACGGGCAGGCCCGGATCCTCCCAGGAGCCTAAGACTCACTTCAACCTTTAACCCCGCTCCCACTGACTAGGGAGCCGCCATCTTCAACCAGGAAGTGGTGAGAAAATTTTAAATTTTTATTGATTATTTTATTTTATTATTTATTATTTTATTATTATTTATTATTTTATTTTATTGATTATTTTCGTTCAAATGAACATTGTTGTTCATTTTTGTACAACATTTGGTTTCTCCCCGCAGATGTAGCCCCCATAATTCTCCCACCACCACATCACCCGTGAACTGTCACCAAAGTCCCTTGTGCTCTTCACTGTTTTTTTGGTTAGTGTTTTGTTTTGTTTTATTTTATTTTATTTTTGTATTTTCAAAGTGTAATGTTTTATTTCTGTTTTTAACTTAATTTAATTTTCTATATTTTTTACATCATTTTCATTTTTGCACCATGTATGCATTTTCATCTTGGTTATATTCCCATATAATTCCCACCCCACCCCCCCTGATTTTGACCCTAATCGCCCTCCGCGCCTCCCCAGTGTGTCTCTCGTTTATAGTTGCTTCCTTCTCGCCCGCTGATCTGTGGAGCATAGATCAGCACAGATCAGCCTGCAAGGTATTTTTTACCTTTTTCCTGATCCTTTGTTGGGTTTCCCTGTCAGTGAAACCATTTGATGTTTTTATCTGTCTGTCTATCTAATCTATCCCTATCACCGTAGCTAGTTATTTTTGCCAGATAACAATTCTCATTTTCATCAGACTCTGCATGTTAGCAGTCTTTTAAAGTTGTGTCAGTCTAATAGATAAACAGTGAGGCTACCTTTGAATTTCCTTTATATATATTTATTTATTTACTTTTATTTATATATATTTTACATCATTCTTCATTTTTGTACAATGTATGCTTTCTCCTCTCAGGTGTAGTCCCCATAAAATTCCCACCACCAAGTCACTTGTGCTTCATCACCATAGTCCCCTTCTGCTGTTTCTTCCCATTTTGATCTCTCTCCCTCTCCTTACCCCTCCCCTGCAGAATGTCTCTGATTTATACTTGCCTGTTATTTTTTTTAAAGACATTTATTTATTCATACAAGAACTGGGGTACAGTCCAGAGGTGTGTGGGGGGGGGGTGTGAGAGAAGTCACCAGAGCAGAGTGGGGAACAGAACAGGCAGACTGACTGAAACACACTGCTGAGAGGAGCAGCAGGTAAGCCAGGAGAGGTCTGCTGTGCCATGTGGGTAGCTCCCTGGCCGGGCATGGAACTGGTGCTGCAGTGGCTGTGGATAGCTTCATAGGTTGTGTCCTAAACCCTTACACCACCAGGGAGGCCCTAATTTTGTTTTTTTAATTTATTGTAATTATTTTTTTTCCTGATCCCATATTTGGTTCCCCTATATTCCTCCTATAAGTGAAACCATCGGATATTTTTCTTTTTCCCTCTGGCTTATTTCACCGAGCATGAACCTTTCTAGCTCCATCCATGTTGCTGCGAATGGCATGAGTTTATCTTTTTTGATTGCTGAGTAGTATTCCATTGTATATATATACCATATGGATTTCCTTTTTTATGACAATGATGGGGGTGCTTCTCTCCTGTCTCCTCTTTCTCCTATTCTTGACTGAACACGTGCTCTGAAGCAGGAGTAGTTTGAACTTTTCTTTCTTCTGAAGCAGGAATAGTTTGAACTTTTCTTCTATCAATTTAACTCATAGTCCTTCAAGGTTAAGTACCATGATTAGCATCTTATGGGCAATTTTGTGTGTGAATCATCTTTTACAATCTTATTAGTTCTAATGTCTTCTCCTCTTTATAAAACTGTTTTTTTGTAAAATGCCCCTGCATTAGTTTGCTACATCTGCCAGAACAAAGTACAATAGACTGGTTGGCTTAAATAACATATTTATTTTCTCAGGGTCTGGAGGGTAGATAGTCTAAGACTAAGATGCCAATAAGGTAGCTTTCACTCTGAGGCCTCTTTCCTTGGTTTGTAGGTGACCACCATTTTGCTGTGTTCACATTGCCTTTTCTGGCTGCCTTGAGGGGCAGGAAGAAAGGGATGAAAGGGAGAAAGAGAACGAAAGAGACACACGAGGCTGGGTCTCTGCCATCTCTTCTCATAAGTTCACCAGTGCAGTCATGACCACATCTAATCCTAGCTACCTCCCAAAGGCCCCACCTCTAAACACCATCAAGTTGGGTTTAAGTCTTCAACATAGAATTGGTGGAGCGTACGCCGTTCAGTCAGTGGCATCCCGTGTGTTATCTTGAAATGATGTTTTGTAAGAAAATAGGTATAACTCTGCCAGAAAACCTGAGTAGCTAAATATCTCAGATAAAGCATAAATGTGATTATAGTAATTGTTGACTGATGCAAGGGTGTGGGTTGGTGTTTCAATACCATGAGGCTGAAATGGAAAATAATTCTTGGTACTATTTGGATTCAAAGAAAATATAATTTTTCATTTATTAAAATGTCAGAAGTGTTTCTCAAAAGCCAACTATTATTAAAATCATGTTATTTTGAGTTTAGATATAAAATGGAATTAGGTTCCAAGCTTAGATTGCTGTGAAAAGGGTGCTCTACAGTTAGTGTTATGTAGTAGGGCAGGCACTAACCATCCTATCCTGACTGATGGGACCATATTATTTGGTGCATAAAAGGTCTGTGTTGTTTTTGTTCTCTTGGATTGAAGATGAAGTTTTTAATTACGTTGACGTCTTTGCAGGTTTACTTCTTGTCTAGTTTAATATCTCTCACATTATGTGATATTGATGTTGTCAATTGTTTTCTTATTTAATTAATTAATTAATTAATTAATTTCATTTATTTATTTTGCCTAGCATATCTTTACTCTTCAGTGTCAGTCTTTACTGGTCACGTTTTATGAGGTATATATTTTTTAATTTAAAATACTGAATTTAATTAAAAAATATCAAAGGTTTTGTTTTTTCTTAGGGAAATGAGTTCATTCATATTTATTGTAATAAAATTTGATGAATTTAGTTTTTTTTACTTTATATTGTCCAGTAATAATTTTACTTTGTGTTGGTTATTTTTATCCTTTTCATATTGTATTATCTTTATTTTATTCCTGTCTCCTTCCACACATTTGCAGTTCCCACGTCTTTCTCTTTTTTTTATTATTATTTAAATTTTATTTTTATATTCCCCTTACAATTACAACCCCCTTATTTT